CTGGGCTGACATCGCCGCGGTTCTCGGTGGCTGCTTGCACCCGGGATTTGTGAGAAACACGAACCGCCAGCCTCTTCGGGGCTGCCATCGTTAACCGAGCCTGAAGTGAATTGTTACGTCGAGGCCTGGCTGATGCTTCTGTAATGGCGGTGCTTGGGTAGCGATGCTGGGCTGACAGGTCTGTGAGTGACAAACCCACCTCGTGCCCGTCGCCGCGTCTTAAACATGGATTAAAACTGGGAGGGGAAAGGGAAATCCCAGCAGGTCGAGGGAGGTGATTCTGCCCCTCTACTCAGCTCTGGTGAGACCTCACCTGGAGTACTGCGTCCAGCTCTGGAGCCCTCAGCACAAGAAGGACATGGAACTGTTGGAACGGGTCCAGAGGAGGGCTACAAAAATGATCCGAGGGCTGGAGCACCTCTCCTATGAGGACAGGCTGAGAGAGTTGGGCTTGTTCAGTCTGGAGAAAAGGAGGCTACGGGGAGACCTGATTGCGGCCTTCCAGTACCTAAAGGGGGCCTATAGGAAAGATGGGGAACGTCTTTTTAGTAGGGCCAGCTGTGTTAGGACAAGGGGAAATGGTTTTAAACTAGAACAGGGTAGGTTCAGGCTAGAGGTAAGGAAGAAATTTTTTACAATGAGGGTGGTAAAACACTGGAACAGGTTGCCCAGAGAGGTAGTGGAGGCCCCATCCCTGGGAACATTCAAGGCCAGGTTGGATGGGGCTCTGAGCAACCTGATCTAGTTAGCAGTGTCCCTGCTCACTGCAGGGGGGTTGGACTAGATGACCACTAGTGGTCCCTTCCAACCCTAAACATTCTATGATTCCGTAGGCGACAGGCTGGGCTGAGCAAATCCAAAGCTCCCGGGTTTGTGCTGAGGAGCTCGGAGCAGGAACGAAATCCCAGTGCAAAGCAAAGACAGCAACAGGAGCTGTAAGCAGATGTTTAAGGAAGGATACGAGCAGGTCAGAGCAGACTTGGCCTTTCTCCTGGCATTCTTCCAGCATGCAACTATCCCATTTGTAAACCCGGACACAAATGCTTCAAGTTATCCTGTGAACAAGTGGGAATCTCATGAACAGCCAACAAAACAGTAACTACTGATCTAGGAATTATTTTGAGGGATGGTCTAGACAGCTTTGTAACACGTTTGTGATTTTATCCTTACAGGAGAAAACTACGAACTGATGTTGCAGCAGCTTTTCCTAACCTTAGTGCTGAACAATTGACTGAGTTTATTCCAAACAAGGAAGAGCTTAATGTCATCAAAATACACTCTCACAAAGGGGAGGCCGTCACTGTTTACATGAACAACAGGAACCCAATACTGTTTGAAATTGAGAAAGCTCTGTATCCAACAGGTATAGAATAATCCTCCTGCTTTATTTACTGGGCACCGACCTTTCCCCAAAAGATTTCCTTCTGTCTGTCTTAAGTACTTGCCCTATCGCTATAGTATCAGTATGCTTCATAATCTTTAATGCATGTATTCTACGAACAGCTTTGTGAAATCAATAGCATTTCTGGATTCTTTCTGTAAAAAAGGAAATTGAGGTGCTGAGGAGTCAGAAACCAGGAAACCAATCCTTTAAGCCATAGTTTGGCATCTTAACCCCATTTCCCTCCTTTGTCTGCTGCAAGGTATAATTCCAAGAAGCACGATGTCCACTTCCAGGCAGCCCTGGAATTAGGCAACGAATTGCTCTGATATTCTACGCATTTATTTTTTCCCATACCCAGCAATTCTTCCCTGTTGGAATAGCATTTTAGTTCAAAGTGTCCTTGATTTAAGAAAAATAATGCAAACATTTATCTGTATCCTTTGTAGTTTATTTTTCTCCATCACATCTACTAATTATTGTGGGATTGTTCTGACTTCCGATTTCGTGATTACCCGAGTAACAGGGGAGTGTTTAGTTGTGGTTAGTATCGTAATGCTTAGTCTTAAAGATGGGCAGAAGCAACAGCTAGAGAAGTTTTTAATGATGCATCTTTAAATTTGGTTCTGTTTTGGGACAGTGTACTCGCTGTGGGTCTACCCCGATCTTCTCCCTGCTTTTTCAACATGGCCCCCTGTGCTACAGAAACTAGCGGGAGGAGCAGGTAAGAGGACAAGAACTTTGTCGCATTGCACTGCAAAAAGGGGTCGCCTTCCGGGCTTTTTTGATGTTACTGTTCCCAGTGGTAAAAATGTACCTGAAACAAAAATATAAACAAAGCGTAAAGAATAAGTACTCACAAAGTAATTCATGGTGATGTCCTAAAAAGGAAGATAAATTAGCTGTAAAAAGGTTTGTGAATGAAACAAAGTAGGTTAAGCTGTTAAAATGCAGTAACCTGTTCCGTGTGGGAGTCTCAGATTTGGAAATACCTTCTCGGGGGATCAGCGACTCTGAAGTGGGACACAGAACCCGCCTGTGTCATTGGGCTGTCTTTTTTTATAACTTTCTTTGAGCAGCTGAGTTCCTTTGCTGTTATCCTGCTTCCCGTCAACTCAGAGGTGAACTAGCTTACCCGATGGATAAGCAGCGAGTTTATATTGGAGCCTACAGTTGTAATCACTGCCAAGTAAATTGCGGATTGTGGAGGTGAGGTTGGATTTGAATTCCTGGATTACTGGCTCTACCACCTAATTATGGATCAAGGCTAGCAAGAAAGGAATCTATTTTCTGGAACCTGCTTTGGATGCAGTTCAGACTCATGAGAATCGGGTCTTTATAAACTTTAAATTGCAGAACTGCTCAACCAGAAAAAGATTAAATTGCAGCCGCTGCGGCCTTAGTCTGTAAATGGAAGTGCGTGTGTAGGAAGAGACGTCTTTTTTCTATTACACAGTATCTAAAGTAGAACTCAAGTCCCTCTGTTCACTTTGTTTGCTTTTGGGGAAATAAAGTGCTTGTATGTGTAGCTGTGATAGACCTGAGTAAGCCTTGCTGCTGACTTGTAGTGACCTAGTTTCTGGGGGAAGAAAAAAAAAAAAAAAAAAGTCTTGCTAATGGGGGAAGACATTGATGAAAGAGGGCTCGGGGTACGATCGAAAGATAAGAAGCTGGCCACCGAGACAATGGCCAACAAAGGCAGAGGGAGAGGTAGAGCCACATCTCAGAAAGGAGAGGAAAGGCGTGAGACTATCCAGTGCTGCAGGCGGGGAGGGAGGGAGCAGATTCAGGCAGCATTCAGTTACAAAGAGGAGAAGCAAGGTAGTGCTACTCTGATACCTGTTCTGTGAATTCAAGTCACAGAATCACAGAATCGTTTTGGTCGGAAAAGCCCTTTAAGCTCACCAAGCCCAACCATTCCCCTACCCCTGCCATCCCACCCCCAAACCCTGGCCCTAAGCACCTCGTCTGCCCGGCTTTCAAATCCCCCCAGGGATGAGGACTCGACCCCTTCCCTGGGCAGCCCCTTCCAGTGCTTGACAACTCTTTCCGTGAAGAGATTTTTCCTAACGTCCAACCTAAACCTGCCCTGGCACAACTTCAGACCATTGAAGTCTCTACTGTCTGCCCTGGTTGTTTACGTAGTATATACGTGCTCCTTACCTTGTCACGTTAAGGCCTTTATGTGATTTCTGTCCTCAGAGGTGTGGAACCTTTGTTGCACTTGCAGAGCTCATTCTAGATTTGCTGAAAGTAGTTGTGACAGTGAACAGGAGGAAAAATACTGTTGTCTTCTTCAGCATACACATTAAATCTATGATGCTGAGAAAAAAGTGAGATGCCTTCAAAACCAAACCATGGAACACAGGTCAGTCCATGAGACTGCGAGCTCTAGATGTTTATAGCTGTTGTGAGGGAGAGCAGATGCTCTCTACATAATTTGGTGATGATGTCATGCTGTACATGCAGCATGGAATACTGTTCTTCACTCACACGCCAGTCTGTTCATCCCAGGTATGGAAAGC